TCTGGATGTTCCAGGTGTAGATAATTGATTGTGAGCCCAGTTGATTAGAGCCAGCTAGCTCAGCGATGCGGGGCAGGGACTTCCAGACTACCCATTTTTAATCAGGCAAGTGGCAGGGGAGCCTATGATGGGTTGAGACTGCAAAACGACTGCAATTTTTAAAAAATGCTACAGTATGTCAACCTGTCTCCACAGTATTTTTTAAGTCGTTTTTGTATTTGTGATGTATTACAGTGGGGGAAAAAAGTATTTAGTCAGCCACCAATTGTGCAAGTTCTCCCACTTAAAAAGATGAGAGAGGCCTGTAATTTTCATCATAGGTACACGTTAACTATGACAGACAAAATGAGAAGAAAAAAATCCAGAAAATCACATTGTAGGATTTTTAATGAATTTATTTGCAAATTATGGTGTAAAATAAGTATTTGGTCGATAACAAAAGTTTCTCAATACTTTGTTATATACCCTTTGTTGGCAATGACACAGGTCAAACGTTTTCTGTAAGTCTTCACAAGGATTTCACACACTGTTGCTGGTATTTTGGCCCATTCCTCCATGCAGATCTCCTCTAGAGCAGTGATGTTTTGGGGCTGTCGCTGGGCAACACAGACTTTCAACTCCCTCCAAAGATTGTCTATGGGGTTGAGATCTGGAGACTGGCTAGGCCACTCCAGGACCTTGAAATGCTTCTTACGAAGCCACTCCTTCGTTGCCCGGGCGGTGTGTTTGGGATCATTGTCATGCTGAAAGACCCAGCCACGTTTCATCTTCAATGCCCTTGCTGATGGAAGGAGGTTTTCACTCAAAATCTCACGATACATGGCCCCATTCAATCTTTCCTTTACACGGATCAGTTGTCCTGGTCCCTTTGTAGAAAAACAGCCCCAAAGCATGATGTTTCCACCCCCATGCTTCACAGTAGGTATGGTGTTCTTTGGATGCAACTCAGCATTCTTTGTCCTCCAAACACGACGAGTTGAGTTTTTACCAAAAAGTTCTATTTTGGTTTCATCTGACCATATGACATTCTCCCAATCCTCTTCTGGATCATCCAAATGCACTCTAGCAAACTTCAGACGGGCCTGGACATGTACTGGCTTAAGCAGGGGGACACGTCTTGCACTGCAGGATTTGAGTCCCTGGCGGCGTAGTGTGTTACTGATGGTAGGCTTTGTTACTTTGGTCCCAGCTCTCTGCAGGTCATTCACTAGGTCCCCCCGTGTGGTTCTGGGATTTTTGCTCTCCGTTCTTGTGATCATTTTGTGAGATCTTGCGTGGAGCCCCAGATCGAGGGAGATTATCAGTGGTCCTGTATGTCTTCCATTTCCTAATAATTGCTCCCACAGTTGATTTCTTCAAACCAAGCTGCTTACCTATTGCAGATTCAGTCTTCCCAGCCTGGTGCAGGTCTACAATTTTGTTTCTGGTGTCCTTTGACAGCTCTTTGGTCTTGGCCATAGTGGAGTTTGGAGTGTGACTGTTTGAGGTTGTGGACAGGTGTCTTTTATATTGATAACAAGTTCAAACAGGTGCCATTAATACAGGTAATGAGTGGAGGACAGAGGAGCCTCTTAAAGAAGAAGTTACAGGTCTGTGAGAGCCAGAAATCTTGCTTGTTTGTAGGTGACCAAATACTTATTTTCCACCATAATTTGCAAATAAATTCATTAAAAATCCTACAATGTGATTTTCTGGATTTTTTTTCCTCAATTTGTCTGTCATAGTTGACGTGTACCTATGATGAAAATTACAGGCCTCTCTCATCTTTTTAAGTGGGAGAACTTGCACAATTGGTGGCTGACTAAATACTTTTTTCCCCATGTACTACATTTATTCGGTATAGAGTGTAGCCATTGCGATCTGTACAGTTTTCTTGTGTCAACTAACTCGTGACATTCCTGGATTACTCAGTATATTAATAAAGTCAGATTTAATCAAACAATCCGATAGTCAGTTTAAAAAAGGTTAATGGTACAAGACTGTGTACATATCACATTGAACCAAGGGGGGAGAGCCTGCCTGTTGTCACAGTTCCAAGACCACCCTACGCCAATGACGCCAGTGGATCTCAAAACTAAACTTAAGTAGCCATGATATCCTTCTCCACCGTCGTCAGATATCTCAAACCAGTCATTACTGTTCAACAAAACAATAAAACAATACATACTTTTCAAGTTTCTTTCCAGCTAATTTCTTAGTTACATGATTGTATAACTAGCAAAGGAGTATTGAAGTTGAGGGTGCAGTATTTATGAAGTTTGACAATGAGGACGAAAACTAGCATAGTTCAGCTAGAAAGCTAGTTTATCCAGGGAAAACGAGCTCGGGACAGGATATAGCTAGGTGTACATACACACTAGGCTAATTCAGGAGACAGATTGTAGTTTTTATGCCATGATATCAGGAGCTGGTGGCGAAAAGTTTGATTAAACAATTCAGCGACTGAAACTAATAAATCAGATTATTTATATTTAAGGAGAGCAAATCGATATACAATCCCAAAATCAGCTGTAACTGTCAATAGTAAAACAAAGCTTAAAATGATGTTTGAGTGAACCTTGAATACAGAAAATTAATGGTGAAGTCACTTCCGGACACGGTAGACTCCTCCTCCTCATCACTCTCTTCTGTCTGAGGATAAAGAAGATGCAATTACTAGTAATCGAAGGCATAGTAAACTAGACCCTAGCTGAAACCAAATGGACATTCAATCAATAATTGATCAACATTTGCTATTGTTAAACAAGAAAGCTTCCTGTATGTATCATTTATAACACGTACTGAGCTCCCAAGACTCCATTTGCCCTCTACTGTATTTCTCTGCAGCATGAGCATTAAATTTTTAAAAACGTTTTAGTCATTTAGCAGACGCTCTTATCCAGAGCGACATACAGGAGCAATTAGGGTTGAGTGCCTTGCTTAAGGGCACATCAACAGATTTTTCACCTAGTCGGTTTGGGGATTAGAACCAGCGACCTTTCAGTTACTGGCACAACGCTCTTACCCACTAAGCTACCTGCCGCGCATCACAGTGAGTGCTGGCCAACATGCTCTTTAACCTGGCTGTCAGAGCAGCCCTCCTGGGTTTAACACATTGAGATACTGCGCTGTCTGTCCGTCAGTCTATCCCAATGCCATTTACAGTATGGGTATCTGTCCCTGTTTTCATGGAGATCAGGCTCCAGAGGGGTTGAGAGTGACACTGCTCCCGGGATCCTCTTCTGCTCTAGTCATTAGACTTGCTCCTCATAGACCATCAGTCTACAGGGTGGCCAGTCCTCTTCTGGTACTCTTCTTACCGTTCATACTGCATATGAATAAACATTGCTTTAGCATGCATATTTCTTTGATATAGTGCCATTCAGTCAGATTTTTTTTGTTTACATAATTCATATTCACAATTGGATGTATTCATGAATAAGGCCTTGCCCGTGATTAACATACAGCAGTGGTCATCAGATATGAGGCTGTATTCAAACAGTTGAACCTGTACAGTGTAACCTACACTCATCCTTTTGTTTTCTCTACTGAAAGACTACAGTAGAAGATCTTGTACAGTGCATTCGGAAAGTATTCAGACCCCTTGACTCTTTCCACCTTTTGTTACATTACAGCCTTATTCTAAAATGGATTAAATAGTTTTTCCCCCCTTATCAATCTACACACAATACCCCATAATGACAAAGCGAAGATTTTTTTGCAAGTGTATAACATTTGTACATTTACATAAGTATGCAGGCCCTTTACTCAGTACTTTGTTGAAGCACATTTGGCAGCGAGTACAGCCTCGAGTCTTCTTGGGTATGACGCTACAAGCTTGGCACACCTGTATTTGGGGAGTAAGGTATCCCAGAAAGATATCCCCTTTCACACCGAGAATAGCAACAGGCGTCCAACCGACAGGCACCTCATCCTCATGCTGTGAATCTCAGGCCGTATACGGTTAATCATGGACGATAAAATATACGGTTAATCACAGATGATACAATATACTGTTAATCACAGACAGTACAATATACGGTAAATCACAGACGATACAATATACGGTAAATCACAGACGATACAATATACGGTAAATCACAGACAATACAATATACGGTAAATCACAGACGATACAATATACGGTAAATCACAGACAATACAATATACGGTAAATCATAGACGATACAATATATGGTTAATCACAGACAATACAATATATGGTAAATTACAGACGATACAATATAAAGTAAATCACAGACGATACCGTATCCTAACTTGCAGAGCTATGAATATCCTCTCTCTAAATGATGCCATTTACATGTGTTGAGAGGAGACTAACAATGCTGAAAAAAACACATTCATTATAGAGAAGAATATACACAGGGAGGTACAGCTGCTCTTCCCTGCTGTTCAAGAGACCATCTCCAGTGTTCCCCATGCACCTCATCATTATTAATCCACACCTTTTAAAGGAAATATTGCAGCCATTTCTCATGATTACTGTTGCTTGCTTACACCATTTACATAGAGATTACATTGCTTTGGCAAGGAAACCTGGCTGAGCAGGCATTACAATGATGGTGTGCACTGGGTTGCTGTGATGGAGTGGGTCACTGCACTTAGTGCATGCCAATCAAGCTAAAGCGCTTTGATAAATAGATGCACATCATCACTTGTTTATTCGGGCTCACAATTCACTTGGAATTATTTACAGTTTGTGGGTTCGCTCAGCATTTTACCACCAAAGAGAAAAAGATGGGTATCACATGTAATTGAATGTAGGAAGTTAGCAGCATGTCTTTTAATGGTGAATTAGCCCACAGTATATTTTCATCAATTATTTATTGGCACTTAGCCAGGAGTGAAATTAGATTGCTATGCTTACTTCTATTGGTGCAAGAGCTATAGGTGTCATTGTAAAGCTGGTATTGATATTTTTCTGTTATATGGTGTTAGTTTATTTGCTAATTGGATGCCTGTTAAACCCTGTATTTATTTGGGATTAACCCAAGCCTGCTCTAGGGCTGCAGCTGGAAATCTGGAACTGTTGACAGACCCAAAGGGAGACTCTCATACAGGAAAATCCCTTCAACCTATTTCAGGGCTAACAAAACACAGGAGATACACTTAGAAAAAAGGGTTCCAAAAGGGTTCTTCGGCTGTCCCCATAGGAGAACCCTTTTTGGTTCCAGGTAGAACCCTTTTTGGTTCCAGGTAGAACCCATTTGGGTTCCATGTAGAACCCTCTGTAGAAAGGGTTCTACATGGAACCCAAAATGGTTTTTCAAATGGTTATCCTATGGGGACAGCCAAAGAACCCTTTAAGGTTGAAGATAACACCTTTTTTTCTAAGAATGTAGAGCACTAATACGGGAACGGTCCCAGCACCGCTCGTTTTCCACTATTCCTTCCTGCCCTGGACTCTCCTGAATGTTCAGTGGGAGAGTAGAAGTACAGGACAGCCAGAGGATGCCAACCGCTACCTTAAAGTCAGCATTCCACCCTGCATTTATTGGAATGTGGAGTGTGGAAGAATTTCTATGTACTACAGAGTTGTATGTCCATTCTACTTATTACATTTCTGCCTGCGCTGTATAACACAGTGGTCGTCCAACCGTTCCATGTATTTTATTTGTTCCAGAGCTAACACACCTGATTCAACTTGTCAACTAGTGAATCAGGTAGTTCAGGGCTACAACAAAATCATAAAATATCTGGGGTCCCCGAGGAGAGGTTTGAGAACCACTGGTATAACATTACTCTGCACTCAGTATCTATGAACTAAGCAACTGATTCTGTCCCAAGAAAACAGGTGGGTGGACTCTCAATCCAATCAATGACTATACTTGATCCATTAAGTGCCACGGAGAGATGAACCGGCGACCGCTCCGGCCCTGAAGGATTAGGTTGGTGCTCTCCTGCTCCCATGCTGCCCAGAGATACAGCCCCGGGGCTACTGCGCACACACTCTGTTAATCTCACACATACATGTTACAGCTGATTAATTTCTATTCAGCAATTACAATATAATTCATGTGCTGCCTTTTGTCCACCCTGACGAAAGCTGCCATAATACTTTAATCAAAGGCCTCAGAGAGAACTGAGTTTGATTATGACACAGCTCCTAGAAAAAGACATCTGTGAACTTACTGGTGATTATACGGAGAATCAATTACATTACCTATCGCTATATTCATTTATCAACATAATACAAATGTTCACAGACCACTTTGAAATGTTCCACACCCTTCCCTTACCCTCTGATGCATCGTTAAAATTGTGGAGCAATCATTTATTCTGGTGCGTAATGTAACATCTTTTTAATAATTGCTAGCTGTAAATACGTTTTGATTGGTGAATGGGAGAGGCCATACCCTAATGCCTTAGCAGTCTCTCTGAGCAAAGAACAAGCAAGATTAAAAGAGAAAGCAGAGATGCTCTCTGTGTTTTTTGTCTTAGACTGTCCCCTGGCAGTCTATTTTGACATTCAGCGACTTGACACGTGAACCTTCAAGGTATCCCCTGCTGTTGAGACAGCAAATGCTGAGGTGCACTCTGCCAAACTAGGCAAGACAGTGTTTGAGTCAAACATTGGGGCAATGCATGCAGGCAGAGCGTAAAACACTGACCAACAGTACACATCTCCCACACAAGGGAACACATCTTCCTTTCAGCACAATTCAAGTTTCTCATACATCCCCAAACAAGCAGTTGTTCTTAGTAGAATAAAAATGTTGCTGTATATTAGCATGGGAAGACACTTTTGGATTCAATTGCATTTGTTTATCCTTCAGCATGGTGTCACAAAAACAGCCCACATTTAGCAGCCAGGTCTAGTTGAAAAAATATAAATATCTTAATCAGAGTTTCAGTAAAAGCCTCAGTGAGCAGCCATGTTGTGCCAGTAAAAAGAGCCCCATCACACCTACCAGACTCTCTGGAGATCTGGACAAAAGCCTCCACGCCACTTTCTCCATAATTCCCCTCCGAGGCCAGGGTCGACACATAGTTCCAGCCCATCGCCGTGACGATGTCCAACATGGCCTGAGCTTGGTAGGAGTCCGGTGGCACCACACGGGAGAAGAAGTCGTAGCGTGTGTTGTCACTCAGCTCGGGCGCCGTGGATGCATAGCTGATCTGAGGGATCTATGGAGACAAGAAAACTCTAGTGTAAGCCAAGTATTTAATGCCAAACTAGTAATTGTTCAATTCCACAACGGAAACTACTCCCCAGACATCTACTATATGTTACACATGGGAATTTGTACGAGAGGACATATCACTGTGACTTTGTCAGAACCTTTTGGAACCACCTGACTTGAAACTTTATTTCTTCATGTTTAGGAGTCTTTTATCCCAAAAGAACTTCAGAACCAGACAGAACAGAACCAGAATTCCACAACGTCCTTGCTTTGTTTCTTGTCCGCTGGATACAGTGTAAATGTAGAAGAGAGAGTCAACTGTAAGGTGGAATTAGACAGACAGACAACACACGGACAGAAAACACACAGACAGATAGGCATAGCCTGTTAGACAAGGAGGGAAGGTTGGATAATGGTCCTTTAGAGAGCGATTGAAGGCCTGATTGATTTCACTTCAGTCAAAGGCCAGGGTGTGCGGGCAGGCCCTACAGGCTTGTCTCATTGGCATTCAAACAGAGGGGGAATGGAAGAAAGAAAGACAGACAGGCAAAGGCCTGCCAGCAATACAAATGCCACTCACTGGCTGGCAGCTTGAGCCGATCTCAGCTCATTCACAGACGGCAACAAATTAAACCGGCTGTAAATACAAATGCATCTGGTGGGTTTGACATAATTGAAATCACCTGTGAAATGCCAACGTTCTGTCAGTCCCAGGTTAACCCTTGAACATTGGGATTGACTTGATCCATTTTGTCAGATTTTTTCCCACACGCTGGGATTTCAGAGCCATAAGATAACAAGAGCTAAATGAATACCAGAGGCAAAAAGTGATTCATTCTCACCATTAATGAATTTCTGCCATTAAGTGATTAAGATCTGGGTTGAAACAAAGGCAATTCGTATTGCCTTTAGTCACTATATGAACAACTTCATTTTTCCAGGCGCCAAAGAGTCTGCCTGTGGTTGTCTTTATCTGAAGCTGAAGTTTATACACCCTAAAGTCAATCAATGGTTTTAATTGATCAATTAAGGAGAGAGTCAATCAGAATGCACTGTGGCTTCAGAGAACAAGCTCTGCCCGTATGTGATGTAATCCATTTCGATTTATTGGGGACACCTCAGGGTAAAGCATTTTTGCAACCTCTGAATTGTGCTATAGTGAGATAAATCATATTGACCTCTGGATAGAGATCTCATCTTTCCTAACATGGAGATTTACTCTCTCTCTCTCTCACACACACACACACACACACACAAACACACAAACACACACAAGATATTATCATAATTCACTGCAAACTTCCATAAGGTTTGGCCACTGAACGAAATGAATAATGCAAAAGGTAACTACAATAAAGGAAAACAAATATAGAAACCAAAACAGGTTGAGATAATGTTCACCATGGTGCAATAAGCTCAGATCCTGAACTATACTGAACAAAAATATTAACGCAACATGCAACAATTTCAACGATATAACTAGGTTACAGATCATATAAGGAAATCGGTCAATTTAAATACATTAATTAGACTCTAATCTATGGATTTCACATGACTGGGCAGGGGCACAGCCATACACTGGACAGCCAGGCCCACTCAATCAGAATGAGTTTTTCCCACAAAACGGCTTTAATTCAGACAGCGTTTATATTTTTGTTCAGTATATTTCCAAACACAATGGTTACGAGAATAGTTCACATTACAATAATTTCAATATATCTTCCTAAATCAACAAAGATCTACAGAGGTACACTGACATATATAAATATATGATTGATTGCTTATATAACCAATCAAAGTCCATTGCTTTTAATAATAATAATAATAATAAGCCATTTAGCAGACGCTTTTATCCAAAGCGACTTACAGTCATGCGTGCATACATGTTTGTGTATGGGTGGTCCCGGGGATCGAACCCACTACCTTGGCGTTACAAGCGCCGTGCTCTACCAGCTGAGCTACAGAGGACCACTTTTCTATATTTGTTTTCCTTTATTGTAGTTACCTTTTGCCTTTACTATTTTTTGTGTAGGTTTGGGAATGTTGATGCTTAATTGTCTGCACCTCTAGGTGGCTCTGAGAGTCATAATAATGTCACTTGGGAAATTACAATCACATGCAGAACACTTTATCCTCTTACATTATATGAACCACACTCTCAAAGCTGAAATTAAATAAACTTCCATTCCGCTTGTAGGCCATGGAGAGTTGTTGGCACAAGTAGATGGGGAGACTGTCGCTTTAATTAGTGGTCTAATTCAGGGATATCGCAGATCAGCATATCTTGATATTTTCATCTCAAAACCCACCAACACATTAAGCCTTAATTTTGATCATCATCATCATCATCATCATCATCATCATCATCATCATCATCCCCATCATCATCATCCCCATCATCATCATCCCCATCATCATCATCATCATCATCATCCCCATCATCATCATCCCCATCATCATCATCATCATCATCATCATCATCCTCATCATCATCATCTCATCATCCTCATCATCATCCCCATCATCATCATAATCCCCATCATCATCATCATCATCATCATCCCCATCATCATCATCATTCCCATCATCATCATCATCCCATCATCATCATCCCCATCATCATCATCATCATCCCCATCATCCCCATCATCATCATCATCATGATAATCATCATCATCATCATCCTCCTCGCTCTCATCATCACCATCATATTGTAGTGTTCCTAGTATATCATCACGAGTCCCAGACCTCTGGGTATTACAAAATGCAAACATGACTAGACTACTTCCAGGGGTCATTTGGTGAGACTGTGAAGACCAGGGTGGTTCTGGGTCAGTGTGGTTTGAGTTTAATATGGCCATGATTGCAGAGCCGGACTAATGCATTTGGGGCTTCGGGGCACCTACCTCCAGGGGGCCCACCTTTCTTTTTAAGAAAACAGCTAACTTCCTGCATTTCAACACATTTTGCCATGGGGCAGAAATAAAAAGTTGATGTTTCATAGCTCACCTCATGCTATCCTCACATTTTGCTAAGAGGATGAGAGAAAAATTGTCTGTTTTAAAGCTAATTTCCTGCAATTCTACACATTTTGCCATTTCTTATGCCGTGTTCATATGCTATCCAGGTAGGCCGTCATTGTAAATAAGAATTTGTTCTTAACTGACTTGCCTAGTTAAATAAAGGTGTAAAACAATATATAAAAAATACAGAAGATAAGTATGTGCCCGTTCTGTAATCTGGCCCTGCGTGATTGACTCTGTAGAGCAGAAGGCTGAAACACTTGACACAGGGCTGAGTCTGTGGCATGTCTTTACAGCGCTGCTAAGAGCACCAGTGATAAATCATGCTCTAATTCTCCACTGCTACTGTGGACATTCACTTGCCTCCATTATAGGGAGAGAGGGAGGAGAGGAACAAGAGAGTGGGGGAGATGGAAGAAATGGCGATAGAGGGATAGAGAAATCTTTCTCAAACAGGGGATGATAGAATTGGGAAAAAAAGGTGGTAAATAGAAGACAATAGGAGAGAGAGAGAGAGAAGCGAGAGAGAGGAGAGAGAGAGAGAGAGAGAGAGAAGAGAGAGAGCGAGAGAGAGAGAGCGCGAAGAGCGTATGAGCATCGAGAGACGACACAAGTAAGCTCGATCGATTTAGCCCTAGCCCCTCTCTCTATCTCTCTACTATGCTCCGTTCTCTCTCTGTATCTCTCATCTCTTCTCCTCTTATCCTCTTTTCTGCCTCCGTCTCGCTCTCTTCTTTCTCTCTCTCTCTCTCTCTGCTCTCTCTCTCACTTCGTCCGCTCTCTCGGATATATCATCTATCGAGCACGATCTGGCTCTCTGAAATTGCCGATTTCATGTGTGGTATTCCCTCATTTGATCCCTTCTGATGCTCTCAGAACAGTACAGAGAAGAGAGAGAGAGAGAGCTAGAGAGAGCAAGAGAGAGAGAGAGAGAGATAGAGCTCTCGATGTACAGATCGAGGCTACTAGAGAGATCGATATAAGATACGAGAGCGTCGTGTGAGATGACTGACGAAGCAAGGTGAGGGGATAATGAATAGAGCGAGTGATCGAGAACAGGCTTGAAATGTGACTTGAGGGCTCACCAGATGTACTCCCACTTACCGTAGCCTGCAGAAAGTGGTGAGACTCATCAAGTATTTAGAGGGACAGAATTCTTCCGTCACACACATCTGCAGCACACAAACACATTGTGCTGCTTCACCTATCTAGGTGACCAGAAGGCAGGACAACGCATCACAACTGATGTAACCGTTATCTCAGTTTTACACATACAAAAGGCGTGTGGTCATTATCTGTTATGATATACTGTGACAGGCCTTATGTCATCCGTATGTCAGAAATGTAAGTCCTTATCCCATCCACACAACAGTATGCTGTGAGATATCGGCATGTGGCTCCTTCCACTAAGGGCCACTGTAGCAGCTAATGGAGCTGTCACACCTAGAGGGACAGTAGTGGCCTGATATGTGGTAGCCTGACAATAGTCATTAATCTCAACACCGACCTTTATTTAAAACAATCTAGCAAACAGCATGCCAAGTGTCACAATAAAGGGTGTAAACAGAGACAGATGTGTGTGCGTATCGACATATTTCTAATCATAATTTTTCTTTCACACAATCACACACATGCATGCAGGCACCCACACACACACGCACACACACAGACAAAATCCCCACCATCTGCACCATTCATTTCCATATTGATAGTGGCTCCTCTCTGACCAGGGATGATAATTGATTGAGAGAAGATTGAGGGAGAAAAGCTAATTCGACATGACAGGACAGCCAGGTCTCTCTATGTTTTTCCCTCTTGAATGTAGCTCTCCATGTAGTCTCCATGGCTACGTCCCTCTTGCAGGTTGGCATTCATTGGGATGACTCATGTACTGGAGGCAGCCCTGCAGAGTGTTCACTAGCTGGCACAGCCACAAAGTCATAACATCTGATTTTAAGCTTTACCCTAATGCTTAACCCTAACCTTAAATTAAGACCAAAAGCTAATTTCTGTTTTCATGAATTTTGACGATATAGCCAATTTGGACTTTGCAGCTGGTCTATCCAGCCGGAATTGCTCAGTGCTGCCTCCAGGGCAAGATTCATGACAATAAACGGCCAACCTGCGTCCCTCCCGCCCTGCCTCTATCTATCTCCTCCTTCTTCTCTGTCGTTTTCTCCACTATCACGGTGTTAGGGTTTTGGGAGCTTTCTGACAAGATCTACGCCCAAAATGATGCTGGCCACAGGAACATCCATAAGTGACATGATCTGATGTGACTTTATCATTCCTGCTATCCTACAGTAGTTGACATTTGGCATCCTGGGACCAATCTGACTTCCATAATATGACAGCTTGACTGCGCTGTAAGGTCACCATTCCTCTTCATTGTTCTGTTTTTAATGCATTTCTATGCTCACTGCTTACTTGTTTTTTTAAGGGCACTTGTTTGTTATGTGCTTATGCACACAAATTATTCTGCACCGCAACCCAAATGCCGTGAGCAACACTGAAAATATGTTTTCACGTAGTTGAAAGGAGGTACATTTAAAGGAAACATGGGAAGTACAAAGTGCCTACAGAATATTGGAAGCCAAACTCTACATGTAACTGCCAAAATAAAGGAAACACTTGAGTAAATGAGGGATACAAAGTAAATTAAAATCGAATTAGCATAATAAAAAAGTACCTACAAAAATCTGTCTGTTTAAGGTAGAGATATTTTTTGCATGGGCTGCGTCTCAATCCACCTCATCCGCCGATGTCGGGCTTCCGCATCTGCGATGGAAGGTGGCAGAGCTACACAGTGTTTGTCAGACCAT